GAATTCAAAAGCAGTGTATTGCACGCTTGTTTTAAAAGTTACGATATATAAACAAAAGTGCAATAACACTTTAAACATCTGAGGTGTTTTTAAAACAGGATTCCATTCAATTATTAACAATCATAAACATCTTGTAAATCTTAACTTGAAGATCAATGTAATCCAATTAAATGTAAAACCAAAGCAATTTACAACCGCCAGGGCATTTAATGATAAGCAAGCAATCTTACATCAGTGGTTCTCAGTTCCTGTCCTTGCACTACATTATTTTCAAATGACCGGTGCAATACAATAGAGCAAGAGTGTTCATACTCTGTCCTGGGGGCCGGTGTCCTGCATGGTTTAGCTCCAACTTACTTCAGTACACATGCCAGGAAGTTTTTAGTATACCTAGAAAGAGCTTGATTTGATGGTTCAGGTGTTTTTTGATTGGTGTTGGAACTAAAATATGTAGGACATCAGCCCTCCAGGATGGAGTTAAAGGTCCCCTAAATTAGGAGGTTTATTTCTAAACGATGTTCAGACTAATAGGGTTCCTACAAAGTGTTCACTACTCATTATTTACCTGAGAATGAGAAAGCTTTACTTCCCTTTAGATAATGAATTCAATGCAATACCATATCTTGCAGTGTAAGTATTATAATATAGTGGGTTCACACAAAAAGTTAAAATAAGTATTTGCTGGAGTGGATTACAAACAAACTCTAGGTAAAAGTAAAAGGAAAGACATAAATATAGACACATTTCCATTTGCTGGTTGCTGACTATTGGCACAAATAATCCAAAATGTACAATGCACTTAGCGCAAACTCTGGGAATTTGTCTCAGTTACATCTTCTGTGTAAGTACAAGTAATTCAACTCAAGCAAAACATTTTCTTGAAGTGAAAAACCCCCTGCAAGTGTAACGGAGGCCAGCTAGTGTGTGCTGTGCAGGTAAACCTCACTCCTCTGACCTCTAAACGTGCTCTAGCGACAGACACTAGAGGCCATGGTCTTTAGCCTCCTTGGTAGAGCACCCAACTCCCATGCGGAAGGTTGCCGGTTTGATACCAGCTCGGAGCGGGTTGGGTGGCGTAGGACCGGCAGGGTTACATTGGTGCCGTGACCCGGATGGGAGTGAGGTTTAGGGGGGTGAGTGTAACGGAGGCCAGCTAGTGTGTGCTGTGCAGGTAAACCTCACTCCTCTGACCTCTAAAGGTGCTCTAGCGACAGACACTAGAGGCCATGGTCTTTAGCCTCCTTGGTAGAGCACCCAACTCCCATGCGGAAGGTTGCCGGTTCGATACCAGCTCGGAGCGGGTTGGGTGGTGTAGGACCGGCAGGGTTACACAAGTAAGCTAGAACAAGTGACTTGGTGATGTGTGTTTGGCGTAAACCCAGCAATATGCCTATTACAAATCTTCTCACTGAGATGTGTGATGACGTCCATCCAAAGCCACTGTTTAACCATTCATTAAAACCATTCATAAAAACTTGCTAGCATTAATTAGTTAATGCTTTAAACTAATAATTTGTTAACTTAAGCAGTCTCTACTGTTTCATGATTACTCAATCTGTATGTCAGTGTCATTTTGGCTGCTGTTGTGTTTTTAGGGTGACTCTGGTGGCCCTCTGAACTGTCTGGTCAACGGTAAGTATGTTGTCCACGGTGTGACCAGCTTTGTGTCAGCTGCAGGTTGTAATACCAACAAAAAGCCAACAGTCTTCACTCGTGTGTCAGCCTACAACAGTTGGATTAATGATGTGAGTCCATTTAATTAGCCCATATTGTCATTATAGTAAGCTTTTTGTGAGTCTACTTAAACTGATTGTGCTATTTTTTTGGTCACAGATCATTGGGAACTGAGAAGATTAAAGGAAGAAATACTCCAATTACCTTTTAACAACTGCAACGACTAGAAATACAAAATAATTCACATGCAGCATTGGACTAATTAATTGTGACTTCATCTTATCCAGTTATTTTATTTATCCAGCAAACTGTAATGCTTTTAGTATCATCACTAAGCAACAGATGACAGAATTTTACACGTAACACCTAGATCTATATCTAGAACCAAATTATTTAATTTAATTTAAAAAAAATTATATTTCACACATAAGGTAATGGTATAGTTTAGGATTTTTGAGGTAATGTATTTAAAAATGACTTCTATTCTCGCAAAACACACCAGCAATAAATAGCTCAGAAGTAAACAAACAAAATAAAGATACATAATCTGTATGAGTAAAATGTATATTTATATTAAGTCAAAGTGTTTCTTTATTTCTTTATGTTAGCCTTTATGGTGAATTTACACCGTTCTTTCAGAAACATTGAATGTTTGAAGGTTTGATGTTGAAGATGATCAATAAAAGTGGACCAGGCCTGGGAAATTTGTTTAAAAGTTGTAAGGGGGCGTCCACTTTTCTTTTTCTTTGTATTTATTTTAATTAAAGAATCAAAGATTGTTAAAAGCTTGCCAGTCCCTGTTCCCTCCTTTTCTTTGAGAAGTTTTTACTGTATTACACTCACATTTTCTCTCATTTAAATACCATTAAAGCCAGGCTGCAACTGGGATCTGACTATACTCATTTTGCTCCATTGACCAGTGACAAGACAACATTTTCTCGCAGTAGGTAGTGCTGTCGCTTCACAGCAAGAAGGTCGCTGGGTCGTTGGTTCAAGCCTAAGCTCAGTTGGTGTTTCTGTGTGGAGTTTGCATGTTCTCCCTGCGTTCGCGTGGGTTTCCTCCGGGTGCTCCGGTTTCCCCCACAGTCCAAAGACATGCAGTACAGGTGAATTGAGTAGGCTAAATTGTCCGTAGTGTGTGTGTGGATGTTTCCCAGAGATGGGTTGCAGCTGGAAGAGCATCTGCTGCGTAAAAAACGTACTAGATGGGTTGGCGGTTCATTCTGTTGTGGTGACCCTGGATTAATAAAGGGACTAAGCCAACAAGAAAATGAATGAATAAACAAGTGGATCGTTTTTACCAGTGGATTGAACATAAAGAAATATGTTGTCAATAAAAACAATGTCAAAAAAGCTCAACAAAGGCTGTACTTTCTTCGTAAGCTGAGGAAGTTCAACCTCCCAAAGGAGCTGCTGAAACAGTTCTACACCTCCATCATTGAATCAGTCATCTGCACATCTGGTTTAGCTCAGCTACCAAATCTGACCTTCGAAGACTACGTTGAATAGTTCGGACTGCTGAGCGAATAATTGGTACAACCCTCCCTACTCTACAAGAACTGTACTTATCCAGAGCAAGCAGAAGGGCTGCCAAAATCACTCTGGACCCCTCACTCACAGCAAACTGCCTCGTTGAACTTTAACCTTCTGGTAACTTTTACCTTTAGACGCTACAGAGCCCTGTGCACCAGAACAACCAGACACAGAAACAGTTTCTTCTCTCAGGCAATCCATCTCATGAACACTTGAAAACATCACTACTTCCTATCCACTTTTTATACACATATACACTTATTTAACAACACACTTTACATGCCAATTTGCACATAACAGCTGCACATATAACATTGCATAGAGTAATATACCTGTACATAATCTTGTCAATTTGTATATTTGCATTCACAACTTACTTTTATTTTTAAAATATATTATCTGTTTTTGTCCTGTCTCTGTATTTTCGTTGCACTGTAGAAGCTCTGTCATGAAAACAAATTCCTTGTATGTGTGGACATACCTGGGCCTGGCAATAAAGCTCTTTCTGATTCTGATTAAGTTTTCCTAAAACAAATTAAGAATTGTGTTGTTTCAACTCATTTTAAATTAGTTTGATCAAGCAGCAAAATCCATTTTTTGAGAGTAGCGTTTTTAACGTCCAAGTGAAAAACAGGTTCACTTCTATTGAAGAAAATGTAGTCAGACAGAATAACTCCACCTTCTAAATACCAGATCCAGTCGCCTCAAATATGACTGATGTGTAAACAAACTTTGCTCAAAGGGTAACTTGCTGATAGTAGAATTCCCACGTCACATCAGAAATGCTGAGTTCACATATTTTGTTTGTTTGTTTATATTTGGTTTGCGTACTTGTAGCATGTTGTGCAGTAGAAGATCAAATTTTAAATTCTATACCTATGGTAAGACTTTATTTTGATGGTCCATTTGAGTATTAGTAGACTGTCTGCTTAATATCAGCTGATTCTGCTCCTTCAGCAGATATTTAACTGACTATGAGAAACTTTGCAAGTACATCTCTACTTACACTAACCCAACCTACAGTCTACTTATAATCTAATACGAATTAGTTGGCATGTAGATGCAATGTAACTTAATTCAACATACAGACCATCAAATAAAGTGTGACCGATGTATTTACTGCAGGTTGCCGACTGTGAATCAGCAGATTACAGGTTTTGCTGTCTGTTATAATCAGAGATCCAGTTTGATTTAGTAGATCATGGATTCTGAAACAGCCAGACCTCATTCATGAAGTCACATTCACTTAAAAAAGACAGTTCACCACAAATGAAAGTTCTGTCACCATTTACTCACCCTCTGCTTCTTCCAAAGTTGAGTTTCTTTCTTCTGTTGAACACAAGGGGAAATACTCAGGAATGCTGGACAAGAAACAACTATTGCCATATTTGTGTTAATAACCAGTCAAACATAATAAAATACTAGTGGTGTGTACGTGCACATAGTAAAGCACTTGTGGCCAAAGTTTGCTGACCCCAGAGCTGGACAAACAGGTTATTTCCACTTCTGGTACACTGGCCTTGGCAGTGGTGAAGCCTGTGGGATTCACACACCTGTGGGCATCAGAAAACCTGTTCTGTTTAGCGATGGGAAAGCCGGTGGGCATATATATCTGGAGGATATTAAAGGTCATAACTCAGAAACTTCAGCAAACATGCAGAGAATCCTGCTGTTGAGTGTGCTGGCTGCTTTTGGTGAGATGTTTGTCTCTTTCTGTAGAGAAAAAACATAGAATTAATAGCATTTAGCTGTTTGTACCATCTGATATTAGCACATATGCCTATAAATATGGACTGAGGCTACAACCTAAGTATGTTTAAATGTGTGTCCAGCTCTGGCTGAGGCCAGATATGTGAAGGATCTGGCTGCTGAGGAAAGGGTTGTCGGTGGAGAGATCGCAAAACCCCACTCCTGGCCCTGGCAGGTACGATTTAAAAAAAATTATATTAAAAAAAACAAACGTTCCTTTTTTGAATCTTTTTTTCACAATTTTAAGGCTCGTTGTTGTACCAGGTTAAGGTGCTCTGTCTATTTTTCTTAATATCATGAAAGACTGGTTGTCACAAACAGACAAACCAGCAAATAGTAAAAGGTTTTTCATGGTTTGGGCTAGCATTCTGGTAAAGTTCTTAAAATAAAAAACAAATACACTTCAAAAGTCAGTAATGCATATTTAGCAGCACAATACACACATACGAGAAAGGTTATCTTTATAAATAAACCGTATACTATGTTAAAGTCTACAACATACATAATATTAAAATATTCGGTTTGTCTAAACAACTACATTATCACAATTCAAGACAAAGTATTTGTTAACTTAACCAACTGCTTATCTGCCATGATACTTAATTTAAAAGAAGCATTCGCTGCTAGAAGTTAGCATGCTCAAACAATAACAAAGGCATAACTTGATGGCATTATGATTGAGAATAAAATAATGGGACAAAAATATATTTTTATATAAATCATTGAAAACTTGAAAGTGCACAGCTGCATAAATATCTGTTGTTGTTTTTTTTATATTTTCTCACAGAAATCTTAAATATTGTGCTTTTAAGTGGAGCAATACAAATGCAAAACATTTAATTTTCAAGAGTTCACACTTGCAGATGATTGATTATAAAGTGTGTTTGACATGCTGTCCTGGGAGAGAGCCCTGAGCTCAGAATGTCCTTGAGCCTGGGACTCCCTCCCGTTTGAAGGGTGAGAGAGGAGTTTGAGCTCAGGTAGGTCTCAAACTCCCCTGCTTTTAAATGTGTTAGGAATAGCTAAGATATATAGTGGCTAAGAGTTTGTCTTATAATGCCACTTCGGATTGGTCAGTTTACTTATATTGTATGTCTTTGGACGGTGGGAGGAAACCCAGGAAACCCGAGTAAAAACCACGTGAGAACATGCAAACTCTGCCGACTGGCCTGGTAAGGGCTCGAACCAGTGGCGTTCTTGCTGTAAGGCAACAAAGCCAGCCGCTGGGTTACCATGCCACCCTATCAGGAAAAGGGGGTAGGAGTAGGGGTGAAAGGGGAGGATTCTTCAAGACGAAGATGACTGAAGTGAAAAACTCTGGTTATTTATAGTGAGTAGTATTCATCTGATTGGTGCAATATGTAAAGCTGATGCGGGACCAGCTGTGATCAATCATGAGTACGTGATCTACTTGAAATTAGTTTAAATAAACTGCACAAGTTGAGATTTTTTTTAAGGAACATTTTTTTAACATGATCATTTTCATTAGCATCAAACACTTTACCTGGAGAATGAGAAATAGATGAATATTTTAAAAGCTATTTATAAATGACAGTGACTTGTGTTGCAAAAATCAACACATTTCATATGGCTTTGAATCGATGAGACAAAATGAAGACAATTTAAATTTTTGCTGTCAAAAAAGCAAATTATTCTTCGAACATACATTTAAACAGCCAGCTCCATGCCAATAATAATAATAATAATAGCTTAATTTACCAGCATGATAACAAAGTGTTTGAAATTTGAAACTATTGTTTATTTCCTTGTTATACTAACTTCTTTTCTTTTCTTAGGTCTCTGTCCAAATAAAAACTCTAAGTCAGGACTCATATACGCATTATTGTGCTGGGACTCTGATTAGAAAAAACTATGTGTTGACTTCAGTCCATTCCATTTTCAGGTAACCAATCTACAGTTTCTGTATTTAGACTGCTAATAAACTTTATAAACGTCACATACTGAGTTTAAGATAAAATATGCAGTTGTACGCTTTCATGCAACTGTGTTTTTTTTTCAATGAGTTTGCAAAACATCTTTGTAGTCAATTGCTTCACTATTCAGAAGTTTGCTTCAGAAGTTTGCTAAAGTAGTCAGTGTAGTAGAATAAAGGTCTTTGCACACTGAAGTCTAAAATCTTTGTATGCGAAAATTCTGAAAATGCACAACGAGTCTGATGCATAATAATTAATCTATTAGAAATATTGCTTTCATTCTATCCATCGTACAGAGAACAAGCAGAGTTAATCTCCTTATCAAAGCGTTGCACAGGAGAATCTCGAAATTCAAGCTTTATTTCAGTAATCAGGAAGAAAAGGACACAGGCAAACTCTTCAAAAAATGGCTGCTTGAGACATATATACAGCAGGAACTGAAAATAGTATTGATTGTCAACCATTCAGCACATTCTGTCTTTATTTTTACACTGCTTTTCATAAAAGCTCTGAATTATCAAAGCAACATCTCTAAATGCTTTTGGATTTGAAAACGGAAGAAAAAATAAATAACTCAAATCCGATCTGCTTTTTTATAACAGATAAAAGTTTCAGACGCAGTAAGTAAATATGATTGAACCTGAAAGGTTTTTTTTTTACATGCAAAAATTTTGGATGAAAAAATCTGATTCAAATTTTTTTTGTCAAATTTTCACACGGACAAACGTTTTGGAGGTAGTGTGTCTATAGCCCCTTTCACACATACATGTAAAGACATTTCCGGAAAATTACCGGCAAGGTCTGTATGTGTGAACAGGCCCTTTCGGAAAATAGTGGTAAATTTGTTCTGGCCGTTTTCTGTAAAAAGAAGTTGTAACATTACCGGTAATTTGCCAGAATGCTGTGTGGGTGTGTGAACGGCTGAATGCAGAAGGAAAGTTGGCTGAAAAAGAGAGTGTTCAAGCTCAGAATGCGCTGACATGAGACATGTACTTCAACCAATCAGAACATTCAGTCACATCAACATCTGCACTGTTTAAATGTAAAAAGCCTTTGAATATTTTCCAGACACATTTAGCTGCTAAACGTCAATCAGATAACATTTCTACGTTCCTTCTTAATGCCAACTGTGTAAAAAATTATCAATAAAATGCTTATGATAAACCGTTGTTGATGCGTGTGCACGTGAACCAGCTCGTGAGCGACAGCACACACATATCATGTACTGTACATCTCCACATAGGAAAGTGTTCCTCCATATGTTTTCATCGAAGTTGTTCATAATACTCATCCATCCTCACAGTTTGTAATGTAGTTAAATGAGCCATTTAGAGCTCATTTCTGGTTAATGACATCAGAATTTACAGCTATTTTGGAATAGATGTGTGAATGGTCTTTTCCGGAAAAATGCCGTAACGCCCTTGCCTGTGTGAACAGCACTTTTTTGAATTTACCAATAAAGTCATTCTGGAAATTAACTAGATATTTACCGGTATCACTGTGTGAAAGGGGCTAATAAGACTGACAACCTTAAAAAAAATTGCAACCTTCAGTCTTCTATGGAGGAGAAGGTTATGCTTACATTAGAGTAGAATGTTCCAGAGTCTTTAATACAGGCTTGTTTTAGAGCATAGCTCTCAAACTGGATTCCTGGGGGGCCACCGCTCTGCACTGTTTTTCTCCAACTCTAATTAAACACAGCTGATCCAATTACTTGAGACTATTCAAGAGAGCCCTGAGCTTATAAGATCCTCGAGCCCTGGGCTCCCTCCCGTTGCAAGGCGAGAGGGGAGTTTGAGCTCAGGTAGATCTCGATGATTCCCCTTCTTGCTTGTTGTAGCTAAGTGTCAGATATGTATACTGAAAGGTGTACTCAGAGGTTAGCTAATGTATTTTGATATATTGTTCAGAGTACTTGTTTTTGAACTGTGGGAGGAAACCGGAGGACCCGGGGAAAACCCACGCGACCTCGGGGAGAACGAGCAAACTCCGCACAGAAATGTTGTCTTGTTTGGAAAGGAATTAAACCAGGGGCATTCTTGCTGTGAGGCAACAGCGCTAATCGCTAATCGTGACGCCCCTTTGAAAGGAGGGAAAGTAGGGTTGGGTGGAGGGGTTTCTTCCAGACGAAGATATTGAGATGAGAAAAGTCTGGTTATTTATAGTGAGTTAAGGATCGTCTGATAGGATAATCAGTCATTAGCTAAAGTTGGAACAGCTGCGAACAATCATAAGCACGTGATCCTCTCGGAATTTGTTTATAAATAAACTTCACTTAAGCAGGTGTGAGTTGGAGGTGGTTGGAGCTAAACTGCGCAGAGCTGTGGCCATTCAGGAAATGAGTTTGAGACCATTGTTTTCAAGGAAGTACAAAGTTGAGTTCTGAAACTTAGAATAAGTTTTTAAAGCATTATGATCTCTTACGTCTCAATTGTTGACCCTTCTATTTGGCACCAAAAATGTGTTGCCTTTAAAGGTTGCGTTTAAAGGTGTTTTTTGAACAACCTTATTGTTGGACCAATCGTCTTGTTAAGTTATGATTTATGAAATAAAGAAAATGGTCATGTATGACCACGTTTTAGTCTTAATAGCAATCATGATTTTAGAAAGTATTACAGCGTTATGTAAATGTATACGTTTACCATTACCTCCTACACTTTGATAGAGGGCTTAGACATGGAAGCTGTGATGCAAGACATCAGATTTAACAAGTAAATACCTACAACACACCATCAGCCAATCAGCAGAATGTTATGAAAAGGGTAGAGTTCTGTTGGGTATTGGGTCTTTTTATGCTTTTAAATAACAACATCGTTTAGCAAAAATCACCTAGTGCATCTTAAATACTGAGGACACACATTTTAGCTATCATTCTCAGTTGAATGGAATGGAAAAATGTCCAGAATGCAACCGACAGTCATGCAGTGCACAAAGTGTTCTGGCAACTTTTGTGCAGTGTGTTTCATGCATAAGACAGAATTCTGACTCTACCTGTGTCAATGCAAATGTGCTTTCTGTGCAGCAAGTACGGGAGCTGGCGTGTTGTTCTGGGTGACCATGACATCTCTACAGATGAGGGAACCGAGCAGTACATAGAGGTCAGGGAGATCACCTTCCATGCCTATTCTGACCTGAATGATGTGTCTAAAGGGTGCGTAAACGTTACATACATGACACACTTGACTGTATACACTATATATATATACAGGGCTCGAAATTGCGACCATTTTGGTCGCATATGCGCCCGAAATTTTATCTATGCGACCTTAAAATATATTTGGGAGCATTTCTGCGAGTGCTTAAAATTGTTGTGTGCGACCAGTTTTTACTGCAAAATGTTCACCACATGCGCGGATTAGGGAGACATTCACGCAGAATGCATCTCTAAGCTCTTTGTCTGCACTTGGAACGCGAAACGCAGCGCTCAGGAATGGTTTTAAACAGTTGTCATGTCATCTTGCTGCCGTAATGTAAAGTCTGTAATGCTTGCCCCGCCTTCGCGCTCTTCTTATTGGCCCACCACTGCTCTAGCACTGAACGCGAATGATTGGTTAATATCAGCTGTCAAATACTCAGTCAGCGCCTTCTGGCATCGGATGACAGGGAGAGCAACTACCGCGCGCGGAAAACTAAAGCGAAGATGAAGATGAGAACGAAGATAACGCGGACAGATTTAGTTTTAGAAACCATGGCATCCAAAGTTATAAATAATGACACATCTGACTAGTGATCATGTGCTGAATGTTAATCCACCATCTACACTTTTCCAAGAGTAGAAGACTTCCGTTGGCTTCAAGTCCGCTATGAAAAGTCTGTGAGATGAAGTTTTCAGGTAACTGTTTGCCACATCTAGCACGAGAGCTTCTGTTTAATCCTTCATATAATCGCCAGATAGCTGCCCCTTGCACGGCGGACAGCATATGTCAAATTGAACACCACGTACACCATCGCATACAGGCTTGCACTGAGTAAACTATTATCGCTACTCATGAAAAGACCGGTATTGCTATTAACATGTATGCATATAATAAGGTACAGCATATGTCAAAAGCATCAGTGCAATATCAGACAGCACTTGTGAGAACAGCACAGTTATACCGTTAACAGATTCATGTCAAGCAGTGCGTGCAGGGCCAGTGAGCGCTCCGTGTATGCTTTGGTCACTCACTTATGTTATAAAAATCTATTTTCTTGTGATAACGGGATTTCGTTGAGACATATTTTCCTCACGCTTGCATATATATATATATATTAATTTTTTTCTTATTATTTTGATTAGTGTTGATTTCAAATACAATAAATCTGTTTGTATAAAACTTGTAGTAACGGTGCTCATAATTGGTGGGTGCGACTAAATTTTGGCTGATGCGCCTACATTTTTTAAGTTAGGAGCACCGGTGCTACCAAGCAAAAAGGTTAATTTCGAGCCCTGATATATATATATATATATATATATATATATATATATATATATATATATATATATATATATATATATATATATATATAGAATTACATGTATAAATTTATTAAAACAAATGGATAGTGAGATGGAAAAAAACAATCAGCTCTTAATAAATCTGTTGGATGTTTCAAAAACAGGCAGAAAGATTTAAGAGACTTTGACATACGGTATGTGAAATGGATATGGCAAAGCAAATTTTGCAAACAGCAATGTTTGAGATTTTCTCCTGGTCAGCCGTAGTCATAACGGTGGTCTGAAGGTGGTGTTGAAAAAAAATGAGTGAAAAAGAGAAGAGAACTCAGTCCAGGAGACTTGAACAAGCAGAGGAATTTCTTTATTGAGACGTGTTAGTTAATATGAAGTCATACAGCGTCTTTAAGAAGTCCATGTGTCTGCAGGAGCTTACTGAAGGTCTGTAGTCTGCGAGTTTTATTACAAGTCTGATTTGAAATAAAGATGTCATGTCTATATTGTGTTCTTAGGAGGAGGGGAGATGGCTAAACAAAGCATGCAGATTAAGTTTTGGAGTCAGCATGATAACTGGCTTATAGGTGTTAGAAACAAAAGAGGTTTCTTTGGCCTGAGAGTATCACCCGAGGACAAAGGCAAAGTCGTTCAAAGCCTGCCCGTAGCATTTGCATTACTTTGGCTTAGCCAGTAGTCAGAAAGAGCCAAAGGATATAACTTTTCAGTTATACATAGATGATCGTTCATTAGCAACTAGATTATACAGTCGTGGCCAAAAGTTTTAAGAATGACACAAATATTAGTTTTCACAAAGTTTGCTGCTAAACTGCTTTTAGATCTTTGTTTCAGTTGTTTCTGTGATGAACTGAAATATAATTATAAGCACTTCGTATGTTTCAAAGGCTTTTATTGACAATTACATGACATTTATGCAAAGAGTCGATATTTGCAGTGTTGGCCCTTCTTTTTCAGGACCTCTGCAATTCGACTTGGCATGCTCTCAATCAACTTCTGGGTCAAATCCTGACTGATAGCAACCCATTCTTTTACAATCCCTTCTTGGAGTTTGTCAGAATTAGTGGGTTTTGTTTGTCCACCCGCCTCTTGAGGATTGACCACAAATTCTCAATGGGATTAAGATCTGGAGAGTTTCCAGACCATGGACCCAAAATTTCAACGTTTTGGTCCCCGAGCCTCTTAGATATCACTTTTGCCTTATGACACGGTGCTCCGTCGTGCTGAAAAATGCATTGTTCTTTACCAAACTGTTGTTGGATTCTTGGTAGAAGTTGCTGTTGGGGGGTGTTTTGGTACCATTTTTTATTCATGGCTGTGTTTTGGGCGAAACTGTGAATGAGCCCATTCCCTTGGATGAGAAGCAACCCCACACATAAATGGTCTCAGAATGCTTTACTGTTAGCATGACACAGGACTGATGGTAGCGCTCACATTTTCTTTTATGGACAAGCCTTTTTCCAGGTGCCCCAAACAATTGGAAAGGGGCTTCATCAGAGAATATGACTTTGCCCCAGTCCTCAGCAGTCCATTCGCCATACTTTTTGTAGAAGATTAATCTGTCCCTGATGTTTTTTTGTTTTTTTTTTGGAGAGAAGTGGCTTCTTTGCTGCCCTTCTTGACACCAGGCCATAATCCAAAAATCTTCACCTCACCGTGCGTGCAGATGCGCTCACACCTGCCGGCTGCCATTCCTGAGCAAGCTTTGCAGTGGTGGCACTCCGATCCCGCAGCTGAACTTGTTTGTGTGTTACTGGAGATTTTTATAGACTGTCATTTGTCCATACTCTACCGTTCCTACTCTTCTCAATGAGCTGCGGGCCCTCCCACACTTAGCTCAGAGCACTGACAGGCAGCCCAATTCTAGTACAACAGCCTCTCCCACCTGCAGCTCGAGAGTAGACCAACCCTCTGCGTACCTACGGCAAATGATTTAGCACCGGCAGTGTAAAGGTATTTCCCTTGTATAGTCAAACAGATCTATTTCTCCTTTATTTTAACAATTTAATTTGACCGTTTATTCTTTTCTTGTTCACAATCACAGATAATTTAAGTGAGAGTTTCAGAACTTGTCTGAGTTTATTACATCTGAGACAATACTGCAAATTTACTACGTGAAGTTTATTTATAAACTAATTTCGAGAGGATCACGTGCTTATGATTGTTAGCGGCTGGATCCGCATTACCCAATTCTCAATGCACCAATCAGACGACTCCTAAGCTACTACAAATACCCTGGATTATGTACCACCGCTATCTTCATTTTGAAGAACCCCCCCATCCATCCCTACTCCTTCCTAGATGGGTGACACAGTGGCCCAGTGCTTAGCACTATTGCCTCACAGCAAGAACGTCACTAGTTCTAGGCTTTACCAAACCAGCAGACGTTTCTGTGCAGAGTTTGCACTTTCTCCCATGCTCACCTGGGTTTCCCCAAGGTTCTCCGGTTTCCTCCAACCGTCCAAAAACATGCAACATAAGTTAACTGACTAATCCAAATCGGCACTATAGACATGCACCTAGTAAATAGTTATATATTAAGAACAATCACCATCTGTTCATTGGTTACTACAGCAGGGGAGTTCTCGAGATCTACCTGAGCTCAAACTCCCCTCTCGCCTTGCAAAGGGAGGGAGCCCCGGGCTCGAGGATCCTACGAGCTCACGGCTCTCTCCCGGGACAGCATGCCAAACAAGCTTATAACTAATCATCATCTTATTGTGAACTCTTAAAACATCTATAATGATATACTGTATTCAAACAGCAATAAATTTAGTTAAACATTTGCAAATTGTGTTTTGTATTTGTGAAATGTATTTTGTGAATGTATTTTTATATTGTGCACGTGAATTATTTTTGTGAATATGTATAATGTTTTACGCACGTGAATTTTATTTTTTTGCTCATGAATTAGGCTACGCATGTGTACATTGTGTCTTTTGCGTGAATTACTGTAGATATTAAACTAGCTACATACACATGTGTTGCTTAGGTTGACTTTGCTAAAATATTTGAATTATATTTCTAACTATGGCACAGTTTTCCACCCAGTTAGTAAAAATTGATCTGGGCTTGGGCAAAGAATCCAAACTCTGATCCAAAGCAGAATGGTACGCAAAGACAAAACAGGCGATCATGTCTTGTCAAAGACAATGAAAGGTCTACTATAGCACAAAAACTTGAAAAAATAAATAAAATAAATGAAAAAATTAAATATCATCTACTTATCTTTATGTTCTTGCAAACCTGATCTTCAGAATCCTAATTACAGTATTTATGATGAAATTCAAGAGCTCTCTAATCCTTAAAATAATCAAAATCATCAATAACTGTCAACATTGTCCTATTAGACTGCAATATAAACAGCTTTAACAATTAATTAATTTCAACTCAATTGGTGATGTTATTTTTAGAAAGATAAATCTAAAACACAAAAGATGACCAAAATAAAGACCTTAATGGCTGTTAATGTCCCATTTGTAGTGCAAATTATAAGGAAATAGTCATAACAATAAATGCCTTTTGTACAAAATTAACAAATATCGATAACACTGATACTCAAAATCCCTATAAATATGCTAACAACAATTAAATGCTAACCAAAAGACCGTCAGCAAACTATAAACTTTGAAGACAAACAGTCTTTTTAAACTTCACTGATTAACATATGAACAATACCTTGTGCCCTTCATCAGCCAGGAGCTAAATGTGAGAATAACCTTTTTGACTGCCTTAAGATCGTTTAAACAGAGAGCACTCCAAAGTCCTCTCCTTTTGTAGCACTAAACACTTCACCAAGAACTTCTCCAATATGTACACTATGGCCTGTTTTAAGACAACAGCACCCTCTACTGGGTGGAGGTAGAAGTGTCCGTGATTTAACAATTTACATCTACAAACATTATTCAGCAAATTGTTCGATTCAGAGTCAGTTCAGAATGCATGTTGACGAGACAAGAGCAGAAAGATCTGTTTCTTGCAAACATATGTGAATTACATCGTATAAATTAATAAAATCTAGTAGTTTACCATAAGTAAAAAAAAAAAAAAAGAACCATCTGCTTTTTATTGTATTTTTTTATACCCTTTATAGTGTATCTACAATACAAAAAAGAAAAAAAGAAATAGCATCAGAAATGGTCTTGTGGACTGAGATCTGTTCATTGTTTTTAAGGAATGATGTAGCACTTCTGAAGCTGGCTTCTGATGCCAATCTGAACGCATATGTGCAGTTGGCACCACTGCCACGCCATAAACAGATTCTGCCTCACGGAACTCCCTGTTTCACCACCGGCTGGGGCAACACTGAGAGTAAGTTTGGGTTTTTATAGACAAATCATCCTTGCTTTTGCCATAAAACACTTTTAAGCCTGTTCTTGAAACTCTTTTGTCATGCAGCTGATGGTTCGTTTTCTGCTGAGCTGAAACAAGCCTATCTGCCTGTGGTCGACCATGAAACCTGCTCTCAAAGCGACTGGTGGGGAAGCACAGTGAAAGACACCATGGTTTGTGGTGGTGATGGCACCATGGCTGTATGTAAGGTAAGAAAGACCAATCATGACAGATCATGAGCTATACATTGGTAAAATGTAACAATTTGGCTCCTGTCGGGTTATTTTAGGGCGACTTCGGTGGTCCTCTCAGCTGTCTGGTCGATGGTAAATACGTTGTCTATGGAATCGCCAGTTTTATGTCATCAGAGGGCTGTAATATCTACAAGAAGCCCACAGTCTTCACTCGCGTGTCTGCCTACGTCGACTGGATTACCATCGTAAGTGCCATTTGTGAGCTCTTAATGTCAAAGTCATAAAATCATTTACTTATATATCTTCTTGTGTTGTTTTGTTCATTTCAGAACATGAATGAATGGGATTACGAATGACAAACATCCTCCATGGCCCGCAATGAAAGAAAAAGAAACGTTAACTAACAATAAAACGTTGCATCTGATCTTGGGCTGCTTTATTTTGAGTTTATCCAGCTCAATCAAACACAAATTAATTATGGAAGCACTAAATTATTCGGTTTTTGACTGACACTTATATCAGTCATTTTATCAAAATGTTGACATTGTTAATTGTGTAGCAATGTATTAAAGGGATTTTGAGTTTACCCAAAGAATTTACATTCGGTCATCACTGATTCACCCTCCATGTATTTCATGTTTGGGTGAGCATTCATTCAATTTATCTGCCCCAGGCTTCCCTCTCCTCAGACACTTCCTCCAGTTCCTCCAGGGGATCCTGAGGTGTTTACATGCCAGTTGAGAGACATAGTCCTTCTAGCATGTCCTGGGTCTTCCCTGAGGCCTCCTCCCAGTTGGACATGCCTGGACCACCTCCCTAAGTAGGTGTCCAGGAGGCATCAGAAACAGATGCCTGAGCCACCACAGCTGACTTCTCTCAATGTGGACGAGTAGCGGCTGTGCTCCGAGCTCCTCCTGGGTCACAGAGCTCCTCACCTTATCTATGAGGGTGCGCCCTGCCACCCTGCGAAGGAAACTCATTTCGGCCACTTGCATCCAAGATTTTGTACTTTTGGTCATGACTCAAAACTCATGACCATAGGTGAGAGCAGGAACGTAGATTGACCGGTAAGAGTGAGAGCTTTGGCCTTCGGCTCAGCTTTTTCTTTACCAAAATGGACGGTACATCGATCGCATTACTGCTGCCGCTGCACCAATCCACCTAAAAATCTTCTGTTCCATCCCTCTCTCACTTGTGAACAAAACCCCAAGATACTTGAACTCCTCCAACAGGGGTAAGGACTTTCCTCCAACTTGGAGATTTTTGTGTGGTTGAGGAATCACTTTATTATGTTTTTAAGTCCTGTCAAACCAAGCATCTGTTCAGAAATACTCTGAACCCATTGCTACACCATTACAGTTTGGCCATTGGAGAAATTTATTCAGATCTTTTCATTCCAGCTCATTTCCCCTTCCTCCAAAACACTGATTATGAGAACTGATTGTTTTTCATAAACCACCCAAAGGCATGGTGACACTGCACATGTTTGTCACATTGACTTTCGATCATATGCATACGAATGCAGAAGAGTGGAAATACAAGCTTGTACAAAAAATTTAGTTTGTTGCTTTGTTCCAAAGTTCAATCTTGGGGAACTCTGAATGGCAAATTTGCAACCTATAGACCAGGGGTCACCAATCTTGTTCCTGGAGGTCCGGTGCCCTGCAAGGTTTAGCTCCAGCTTGCCTCAACACACCTTCCTAGGTGTATACCTAGTAAGTATACCTAGTAAGACCTTGATTAGCTTGTTCAGGTGGGTTTGATTAGGGTTGGAGCTAAAATCTGCAGGAGATCGGCCCTCCAGGAACAAGTTTGGTGATCCCTGCTGTATAGACGATCAAAACTTGACCTCTCTATGCAGAACATTTAAAATAGGGAGCAATCGCTTGTTTTATTATATCCCTTTTCACAGCAACATTCAACCAAATATCACATGCTTAAACTTGATTACATGTTTAAAACAATATTTTTCTAGGCTGAAGCATCTCAGGACCATTGCTGTACAAGTAGGGTGAAGAAGTCCTCTGATTTTATCTTAAATATCTTAAAATTAATTTTCTTAACGGCTTAGTCCCTTAATTAATCAGGGGTCGCCACAGCAGAACAAGCCACCAACTTATCCATCATATGTTTTACTCTGCGGATGCCCTTCCAGCCACAACTCAACACTGGGAAACACCCATACACTCTTGCACACACACACATACACTATAGCCAATTTAACTTATTCAATTCACCTCTACCACATGTCTTTGGACTGTGGGGGAAACCAGAGCATGCCAACATGGGGAGAACATGCAAACTCCACACAGAAATGCCAGATGCAACCAATCACTGGAAAACATCCATGCACAATAATTCACACTCATACACTAGACAATGTAGCTTACCCATTTCACCTATACCACTTGTGCGGGAACCGGAGCACCCGGAGGAAACCCATGCAACTGACCCAGCTGAGGCTTGAATCAGCGACCTTCTTGCTGTGAGGCGATCGTGTTACTCACTACGCCACCGTGGCGCCAAAATATCTTAAAATGTCCAAAGTTAAACTAAGGGCACTGGGACAATATGAAGGCGAGTAATTAATACAACTTTCATTTTTGGGTGAACTAACACCCTTTAAGACTCTGTCCACATAAACACTTGTAATTAACAGATTAGTGTATTTTATCAAGTAGGATGAACATCTATGTTGACCCTGCAAAAATCCAATCAGCCAATCAGAACTAAGGGATAACTTTACATTTTATGTTAAGTTTAGGCTCACAGTTAGGGTCATGTACAGTACATGATTGTTATATTCTTTTATCAGGCTTTTGATTGGCCAACTTGGCTTTTTGAACAGGGTTATATCACCATCTATTGGTTAATCATGCTCTTGCTAGTGCATCACAGTGGTTTGTGTGAACAATTCTTCATTATTACTTAAAAAGGAGGAAAAACTGCATAGCCAAAAATCAGTTTGAGATCTAGACTAAAAACACACTCGATGACCAAACCTTCATTAGCCGTATAGTATTTCCTTGGATACGAGAGCCTGGACTGATGCACGCTTGAATGCACCACAGCAATGCGATGTAGACCATCATCATCTTTATTTAGTAGATCTTGAAGCAGCTCACAATATCCCTGTTTTAGCATACAACAAAACTGTTTTAACATACAAACACAAAATTCATGCATTTACATTGTAAGTCAACTACACTGAACAACAAACATTCCTTAAAAATACGATCAAACATACCTTGCTACGCTCACCATGTAAGTCACATTACTTCCTATTTTTTGTCCTCATCAGATCAGATGCGTCAAGTTCATTTCAAAGTGATACGAACTATAAAATACACATTTAAACAGTATAAACTCACATTAACAGGGTACAAAACATGTATATGTGTGATATGTAAAGATACAAAAAGCATCAATTTGCTAATTAAATTACACAGACATATTCAGTATTTCACAACGACTCATACAGGCTTCTTTTACCAGAAATATAATTTAAATATTTTTAAACTTTTACATGCAAAAAAGATTGCTTTTGCTGAATGAGAAGCATGATGTGTGGACAGAGAACTGGACCAAAGTTCACTTTATTGATGAAACCAAGGTGAAAAAAGTGCACTAATATACATTTTATTTAAGTACACTTAGTGCACTCTTTCATTATGTAGTTAATGTGCTCTATTTTCGATTACTTTTTTGTATGTAATGTACTAAAAGTTAAAATTTGTTGTTAATGTATTACTTCAGTACTTAAAAAAAATAATAATAATAAAAAAAATTATATATATATATATATATATATATATATATATATATATATATATATATATATATATATATATATATACATAGTAGTATAGTACCACTCTATGTATAATTAAACCATCTTTATGTGCACTTTTATATACTTATGATAAATAGAAATACAATTGTTTTAAATATATGAATTATGTGCAATAACTTGCGTTATTATGGCCACACACGGCCCAAAAATAAATAAATAAAAAATAGAAGAGACAATAAGTCCACAAAATAAGCCACATAGTTACATACAGATTATGACACCAATGGTAAAATGCTAAATCTGACAAAATTTAAGACAGTTTGAGTTTGATAATGTTTGTGAGCGTTGTGATAATATGATGTGAAGTCATGATCAGTGTTTGGCATCTCTGTGGCATGAGGTGATAAACTGATATTGACACTTGTATGGTCATATGGCCAGTTTGTTGCTCACTTGATGTATTAATCTATGCATTTTCTATGATAGACCATTTTTATTAACCATTTCTGATATAACTCAAGACTCTTCTCCCATTAAGCATTGTAATCTATGTATCTTTTCACTTTCAAAGCAATGTTTAGAATTCAGTAAAGTTTGGATGAAACAGAACCTGAAAATTTATTAACCTGAAACCTTTTTATCCTGCTATTCCTAAACAATTAGAATAGTATATGAACATCATTAAGCAAAGCACTAATAAAAAATCCATTAAAACTGTTCTTTTTACTTGAAACCTTCAAGATTGTGTAATTCCACAAGACCCTTACTCTTTCTTAGTATGTATGCTTATACATGAATTTGTTTGTCTTATTTATATTTTGTTTGTTTTTTTGTACACCCCTGACCTTTCACCTTTTCTTTTCTTTATTTCTTCTTTGTATTTTTATTGTTCTTAAGCATTGATTTAAAAAGTGCTATTCAAATAAACTGTTAGAAAATTTTTTTTTCATCTCTTTCATCTCTTTTAATCAAACAATTGTAAGGGAAGTAGATAAATGCTGGTACAAAGTTAAATTCAGCTCTGCAGAAACTTCCTGTCTGAAGAAAGGTGTTAAAATGAACACAGAGCACAAGAAGTTGTATGCTTTTATTGTTGTGCAGAGAATTCGTAGAAAAAGAGGACTTATGTCTGGGGTGCGGCCAATGGAGGACTGACCAATGATTGACAAATGACGAATTTCACTAAACTCCACCTGTTAATATCAGCTGCCTATATAAGTTGATGTCAGGAAAAATAAGTCGTTGCGCACATCCTTAATGTAACTTGCATTGCATTGACGAAAGCATAATTCTGTGAATTGAATTATTCATCAGTATCCAATAAATAGTTACGATTTTTGACATTGAAGAAAAACCTCTACTGACCTTTTTTCTTGAACACGCATGGAATTGATAAAATATTCCAACAAAACTTAAACTGAAAATCTAGGCTTTTTTTTTTTTTTGTTACAATGTATTCTTTAAAAGTTATTAAATGCATTTAGATTTTCAATTACCCAGCTACTTCTGAAGTTTTTTTAAAAAATCAGATCCGGGCAAATAAATAAATAGCCAACATTTCATAAAGATTTACCAACAACAACAACAATAACAATAGTACAGCACGACAATAACACTAATACACTTTAACTTATTTATTGTAAAAATTTCTAATTAAGTTTAATTCTGTAATACAAAGCACCATGGAGTACAGTACAGAGTTTATATTTAATAATAATAATAATAATAATAATAATACATTTGATTTGAAATGCGATTTTCTCAAGCTCAATGCCCACACAAGGCAACAAAAACAATAAGTATGATGAAAGTATAATAATAAGATAATAAGAGATCATACATTAAAAACACCACTAAAGAGGTGAGTCTCAAAATGTCTCTATGTCTATGTCTAATGTTAATGGGTAAGGCACTCCATAATTTCGGCGCACGGTACAAAAAAGCCCTACCAAGCATAATGTTAAATCTGCAGCATGGAACAGGGTAAGACTCGAAGCAAAGTGAAGATGGCAAGCAGGAGTAGAGTCATAGAGCTAGCCTATAGACTGCTTTATAAGTTAAAATCAGAGTCTAAAAATCAATACGTGACCTAACCAGTAGCAAATGAAGCTGCTGGAGAACAGGTGTGATGTGATGGAGAAAGTATGTATAAGTCAGAGCGTGTTTATTTATTTCCTTTATTTAGCCAGGAGATCACATTTAGACAGTACTGTCTCTTCTTCCAGTGAGACCTGGTCAAGATGGCAGGCAGCACATAAAGTTTCATATAAAAATCAACAAACAATACCACAAAATTACAAGATCACAATTCTTAAAAACATCAGCTCATAAAAAACAATTGCAGGTGTCCTATAAAATGTTGTATAAAAGATGTTTAAAAGTACTCAGAGTCAGAAGAGTGTCAAGATTGAGCTGATTTTGCAGGTCATTCCAAGCCCTGGGAGTGTAAACGGAAAAACCACGTTTGCCAAGTTCTGATAGTACCCTTGGAACTATCAGACGAATACATGAACCAGATCTAGTGTGTTGGTTGTTGGTGTGAAATGTTAATAAATTAAAAATATAGGATGGTAATTTACCTAAAAGAGCCTTTAAAATAAATAAGTACAGATGTAATTTTCTCCTTTGATATAGAGATAACCAGTCTAAGGAATCATACAAAATACAGTGATGCGTCCTTGAGTCTGCACCTGTGCAGAGATTTGACCCACCTGATTTTCTGCGGATTTCTGCGGAATTATTTTGGGAGTATCAGGACTAAAAACTTTATATATTAAATAAAATATAGTTGCTTTTTAACATTTATTTAATGTTTACAATGCCAATTCATCTAGATCCACTTATTTGGTAATTAAAGCAAGTCTATTATATAATATCTACTAAAAGACAGAAAATATTAATTTACAAACTGTATTGTAAACGAATCATATGAATATTTTCATTCATTTCATTCAAAGTTATCGGTGAAAACGGGAGATGGAAGTGTCCTAGTTTGGGGGATTTTTTTTCCAGCATGAAATAATTTCCTTTATATTTCTTGGCACTGGGCACATCAAACTAATGTTTAATATGTTAAATATAATATAAAAGAACACTGGACAACAAATAAACTCACTTTTATGAACACTAGAGTCAGGCCCACTTCTCCTACTACTTCTACCTGCCTAACTATAAAGAAAAGAACTGGAAAAAATATTTACACAAAAGTAAGAGTGTGACATCTAACAACTAATGCTTCTCACTATGTATATACACAGTGCAATATTTACAAAATTGACAAACAAACAAACCAAAATTGAAATACAGTAACAAGGCAGGGAAGAACACGGATGGGTAAACAACAAACAAATGTCAAGATTTTCACAAACACCAAAACGGTTAAACACAATTAAAAATAACACATAGATACTTTATAGTTTTTTATCACACCAAACGCAAAAAACATCCTGCAAACCAACTTGCTCTCCCGCCCCACGCCCTCTTTCCCTTTTTTTTTTTTTTTTAAAAGACGCCCTGCCAATGTTCCGTGACTTCAGCCAATAAAAGGGCACGTTGTCTGTGAAATTAGGGCAGGGCCTGTGCAGATGAAAATAAATCAATCAATTAACTTTTGTTTACATAGCACCTTACTACAACCAAAGTTGGACAAGGTGCTTTACACAAGTAAAAGCAAATTATACCACACAACAAAAATGGAGACAATGCAAATAACCAACATTCAAGAGTTCACACTTAGCTGATAATTGATTATAAAGCTTGTTTGGCATGCTGTCCCAGGAGAGAGCCCTGAGCTCATAAGATCCTCCAGCCCGGAGCTCTTTCATTTGTAAGGCGAGAGGGGAGTTTGAGCTCAGGTAGATCTCGAGAACTCCTCTGCTGTAGTAGCTAATGAACAAATAGCGATTACTCTTAAGAGATGACTACTTACTAGAAGCATGTCTATGGTGCGCCGATTTGGATTAATCAATTAACTTAAGTAGCATGTTTTTTGACAGTGGGAGGAAACCAGGAAATCCGGGGGAAACTCATGTGAACACGGGGAGAACATGTAAACTCCGCACAGAAAAGTCAGCTGGCTTGGTAAGGACTAGAACCAGTGATGTTCTTGCTGTGAGGCAACAGTGCTAAACACTGGGCCACCCATCTAGAAAAGGAGGAGGAGTAGTAGGTGGAAGGGGGGATTCTTCAAAACGAAGATGACTGTATGGAACTTAGGGTATTTATACTGGCTTAGGAATCGTCTGATTGGGGAATCATACATTGAATAATGCGTGACTGGCCGCAAGCAATCATAAGCATGTGATCCTTTTGAAATTAGTTTATATATAAACTTCACTTAAAACATAAAAAAATGTCAGTGCTGTTCATTAAAAGACGATTTAAACAACTGGGTCTTAAGCTTGGCTATAAAAGTGGCAGGTCAGTGATTTTATGAATCTCAGCAGGAAGGGTATTCCAGAGTTTAGGACCTACCACTGCAAAAGAGCGATCACCCCACTGCTTGTATCTTGACCGAGGGACTTCAAGCAGAAGTTGGAAAAGAGACGAAAAGAGAGGGAGAGAGAGACAAACACATACCTGGTTTCCCCCACAGTCCAAAGAAATGTGTTGTAGTGTGAACTGGGTAAGCTTAATTGTTTGAAGTGTATGTGTATATGCCCTGGTTCTCCAGATTGGGGGTTGAGATTTGGGCTAATAACCCACCTCATAAAAACTAGATGTTACGAAACACCAATATGGTGCAGCTAAATATCAACTTCCGTACATATGGCCCAGGAAGTAAGTAATGATGTGACAGTGTCACTAAACACTGTGGCTGTTAATTTTTCAAGGGCATCGACTCCATCTCAACCACTACATTTTCTTTTCTCTCTGTAAGAAAACAAAGAAACACAATTAAAAAGACATGTCATAGCTATATGCTATATTTAGTGTTAATGTGCAAGAGATAAGGATTAAAGTCAAGCATTCTATCACATCAATAGCATTCATGTACTTTTTGCAATATTTCATCCGGAATGTTTTGCATAAAACTAAAGCGCACAGTTCTGTACCCCTAAATGGATATTATGAATGTATAATAATATTGAGAATATATCCTATCAGACCGTCTCTCTGCAAAATTAAGATATAATACAGTGGACTCCTACTCATGACGACCAAACTAGCCCATACTTAATTTTTACTGGGTAAATGATGATTCAAGAAGGCTACAGTGAGCTTGAGTCAGATTTCATTATCATGGCTACAGTACAGTGTACTCTCTCATGAGAAAACTTAAATATGTTATGTATTAGTAAAAAAAGTGACTATTTAAATGTGTACAAAAAGGTATTATTTTTTAAACGTGTGCCCCCAAATCCCACTCTAACCTACATAGCACTGGAGGATGAGCAAATCATACTAAAATGTGAATGAAGCACCTCTCATATGAACTTTCAATTGTTTTTGCACTACTTGATTTGTCCAGAAGGTGCCAGCAACCAAATACAATGAACCAATCGTGATAAAGTAGTTTAAACAGAGTGAAAACAAGTGTAAATGAGTGAATATAAAATGTTAGCACTCAAAACATTTCCAGAGAATGTAATGCCACTATAATGAGGAATCTTTATAGTGCTGTTCATACATTAAGCCTCCAGTGCGTACAAATGCTAACCGAGTATACTTTGAAAAGATTTACACCTGACCCTGTGTGTACATTAAGATTTGAAAAACAACAACAAAAGTAAACAACTTTTGAGCCAATCACTGCAAATATGGCAACCAAGTGAACAGACTTTGTTAAAAGTGACTTTACTTGGAATTTAACTATGAACTTCAAGCTTTATAATAATAATGAAAATGTTACAAACTTCAGCTTTTAAACAAAAGTATTTCAGTGCATTAATTTAATCCGTCAAAAAAAAAAAAAAAAAAAAAAAAAACATCAGTAAGTTACTCACCATGTATTGCAACTCTGAATCTCTTGTGTTTGGTCTCTCGGATGCTGATGACCAGTAGTTTATAAACTCCAGAGTGTTCGGTTGTGCTGTTTGTGATGATCAGAGATCCTGTTTGATCCAGAGTGATGTTCCCTACAGCGTCATCTTGTGTACAGAAACCTTGTGCATTCATCTCTCCTTTTGCAATGAGGCGGTCTTCAGGTCCAAACATCCACATTATCAGATCGCCGACTTGCATTTCAGTTTCCGGGGCTAGCGTGATCGAATCTCCAACTTCCCCTGATATGGTCTTGTCTTTAATTTTGTCCCAATTAACAAAAAACAAAGGATAAAAATGGAAATGTTACAACAGGTGGTCACAATATGGAAACATCAAAACTAAAAATCTGTTAGGAAATGGTGTGGTTTCATTCATTGGATCACACGTCAACTTTAGTTTTGGTGTTTCTCTTGTTAAAAGTGGACAATCTTATAATATTTTAGACAATGCACTAGGGCTGTACAATTAATCAAAGGCAACTTTAATGCTCATTTTGACAGTGAAGCTGTGAAGCTTTGAAGTAGCTCAGCAAGCATTTTTTTGTTTTTAAAAGAAGTCTAATAGACATCTTAACATAAATGGCTTGGCTAAAGCAAGGCTAAATTTGGGCTGTCAATCAACTAGTCATTAAATAATATAACTAGACAGGCTTCATGTCATTCATTTGTGTGTATTTAGACATCTCAAGTCTCCCGGAAGTTCCAGGAGATTATTAGATTAGATTATTAATTACGTTGAAACAATAAAAGCAGTTTATTTAGTGGTGGGCATAGCAATCACATTTTTTTTTTGTATTGTTCTGGAAAAGCTTCAGCAAAGAAAGTTGCATAAATTGAGAAATTATTACCCCAAGCTGTAAATTTGACGTTTTGAAGGGATTTAGTGAAGTGGTAAGTGTTCCTAACTAGCACGCAAAAACAATGGGTTCAAATCCAGGCAGCTAGAGGTGTTAGTTTTTAAATGCTCTGTTCTTGTAGCGTGTTTTGTTTTAACATTGGTCTGATATCAGAATTAACACTTTGTGAATATATATGCCTTGTTTGGTCATATTTTTTTTTCTACATTATTAAAATAACCTTGTTTAAAACTATTGATTCTTTAGCGAAATAGTTGAGTCGAATAAATGAATCGAGTTGGGTTTGGATCTTTTGTTTCATCACATCAACGCCGATATGGTACATCACTAAATATGTAATTCCAGTTCCAGTTCCAATTTAAAATGTGCACGCGCTTCTCTCCACACACTAGCAGAGGCGCAGGGAATCACGGGACTGATCATGATGCAAAGATGACGATCACTGACAGATGGAGATTTGGCTGCAGGGAATAAAGAGTTAAAGTTCATTTTCACAACAACACCACAGTATAGCCAACCGTGTGCCGTGTTTGTTCCTGTAAGTTTTCTGAATATTGATTATTCTGATTTTTTTGCCGTTTGCTATTGAAGGAGCAGCAGAGACTATGGGACTTTGTCAGATTTTGACAGGGACTTTGTCAGTAACTTTTACAGTTTAAATGGACCAGTTTTTTCTTCCTCCAGACATGTAAGTGTCATTAAAATTGTCGCCTCGTTTTGTGTAGTTAAAAACCACGTTAAAAATTTGACCTGTGCTTCTTCCTTTACTGATCGCATTTCTGTCCAAATTAAATGAGTTTTTCATTAAAACAAGCTAAATAATCGGGCAATGGGATAAGCTAAATAATCGTATGTCAAAATAAAAAAAACAAGATTATTTTGCTTACCCCATTGGCAGATTGACACATCTAGCCAACAAGTGATGTGGCTGTCACATGACTGCAACAGGGTCAGACAAGAGATATCAGTATGGTGTGAAAAAAAGCTGAAAAATGCTTCAACATATCATTTTGATGCCCTTGGTCTCTTGACTAGATTCCAAATTGAGATGTTGGGAAAAATCTATTGTGGCCATGTTAAGTATGTATACCTGTGTTAATCTATTAGCAATCTGTGTTTAGCACTGAAATCAAAAAGACACATTACTCACCATGAACAACAACCATGAATCTCCTGCATGTGATGTTTTTGCCGCTGGTGATTTCCAGTGTATAAATGTCTGAATGTGCTCGGCTGATGTTCCCGATGGTCAGATCTCCAGTTCGCTGGTTTATCTGCAGTCGGTCTCTGAATCTCCCATCTGGACCATCATATAATTTGTGGTGATTGGTGGCTCCGCTAAGCTCAGCAATGAAAATGTATGTATCGCTAAACTTCCACAGTATCCGAGCATCATTCTTCAGCTCAGTGACACCAGTTTGCAAGGTGGCAGAATCTCCAACTGTATAGTTCAGCGTATTTACAGCTAGAGAAACATAGAAGAAATGTGTTCATGTGTGCATATAAACTAGATCAGGGAAATCATGACTCTCTGAAGCTACTTACGCCAAACAAGAATGTTGAATTTCTTGTACGAAACCTTATTGCTGCTATTTATCTGTAGCTCATAGACTCCAGAGCTGCTGCTTTTGGTGTTTGTGATGGTGAGATCTCCTGTTTTATCATTCAGATGCAGTCTGCCTTTAAATGCCTCGCTTTCAGGATAGTAGGGGGTCTGTTTCCTCTGATCTTCTGTTCCATTAATCTTAGCTATTAGAGCATTTTTAGGTTCAAGCTTCCATAATATTAGATCTTCTTTCAGTAGTTTGGTAAGACCGGTGTGAAGATAAACAGACTCTCCTTCCGTGAATTTTAATGTGCCCACTTAATTTGATAAAACACAAAAGACAATAATTATAATATTGCAGGTTAAGCAGTAAGATTCTCCAAAGTAAAAAAAATTACTAACCATTAAGTTACTAGAACCTCAGGTGTGTGTGTTTTTTTTACTAACAATTCAATGGACCAGAGTCAATTATCCAACTTATACTATGGTTCACATCAAATCCACTGTTCAGATGTTGCATTTCAGACATTTATCAAGTTTTTGTCCTCAAACTGCTCCAGTGTATAGTTGTAATTTTTGGCTGTTTTAGCTGTGAAATCATTCAGCGTAGTGTTATGGAGCTGTAATGCACTAAAAACCTGCCAGAATGGGGAGAGGGGCGTGTTGCAGGGCGTGTTGTATCTCACTCTGCGCCATTTTTTACCGGTGATAGAGTGAAAACACAAGCTGGTTAGGACAACTCGCTTGTCGTCTGTTCCTCTGGAGTCATACTGTTCTTATCCCCGGTAAGCTCAACCGTGCAGCCGATGCACACTCATGGCAGATCACACCCAGGAGAATAGAGGCTCCATCCCAGGCTGTCTAGCTGTTATGAGTGCGTTTTGGGTACATTGGACACAGCTAGCCCCAGGGCGTGTGTAAATACGGATTTTCTCTTGTGACTCTACTTGCACACATACTGTGTAACATAAGGAGGATGAGGAGCAGGTCTGTTTATTGCGGCTCTCTGGCTCAACCGGACCTGTATTTCAGCTCTCTCCTCGTGACGGCCCCTCCCTGGAATATCCCTTTGAAGAAGCACCTTCTTCTCTGAGACAGGCACCTTCTGACACATGTGCCCAGATCTCTGGAACCTCACATTTGGTCTATAGATGGTGCTAAGGACTTAGGTGACCTACCGGTTTGGGGGTTAACACCTTAACTCAGGCTAGAACACCCTTTACAAGGCATGCCTATGCCCTGAAGTCTATTTGCTGTGTGGTGTACTTCTCTCAGAGAGGTACCCCGGACAAGCTAGATCAGTGTGATACTATCCTCCTTCAGCTGGCTGGAGCTAACGCCTTCCCCTCCGCACTGAGGAGTTGGCGTAGCGATCATCCCCGTTCTGAGGATGCAGGGATGATGGCACTCTGGGAAAGCATCTCCTCATCATCTAATTCCCAGAGAACAAGATGCTGGATATTTAATTCAATCTTGTCCCCCTCTCATACCTACTTGGAGATCTCTCTTAGGCGAGGTCTGCTTAATCGACTCGACTCGGTATCTTTAAGATTTATATCCAGGTAGACAGCTCTGCTGGTCGCGTTGGCATCTGTCAAGACCACTTAGGTGGCCGAGGATTCTACAATGCTTTCTTTTTATAGACTACTACATAGTAAACCTGCACGTGCTGCCCACGGAAGAGGCAGATCCAGCTTCTTTGCTGTGTCCCGTTCAAGCTCTTAGCAGCTCCTTTTCTGTTATGATCAGCAGATGAGAAGTACCGTATCCATATTGAGGTTGGCCCACTGGATGGCGGATTCCATCTCACTCACTTTTCAGTGCCAGGGTGAGCCGTGTCCTCCTGGAGTGAGAGCGCACTCAACAAAGAGTTCACCTCATCTTGAGTGTAAGCACGTGGCACTTCTCTAACAGACATCTGTAGAACTGTGGGCTGGGCAACCCCTAACCGTACGTTCACACCGAAAGCGGCGAGAGCGTCAAAGTAGCCGGAAGTCATTAATTTTCAATGAGAGCCGGCGGCGATAGGCGGCGATAAGCGGCGAGGAGCAGCGCGGCGCGTTTTCGCCGGCTTGAGCGTCGAGGAAAGTTGAAATGAAGTCAACTTTATGGTAATGAGCTATGACGCGGTTCGGCGTCAAGCAATCAGAATGAAGACCTCCATCGCTTGATAGCAGTTTAGAGAACACAGACTTGTGAACTTTGGTTCCGACCACAGTTGTTCCCAAGGGTTTGATTATTGCGGTCGCCGGATTTCCAAATATTTACAATTTTTTCCTACAGGAACATACATTAAATAAGTTACTGGCGAGTTACTGATGTGCATTAATGTTATATAAATTTATCTTAAAAAAGCGGGAATCTCACGCGATGTGACAGTACAAAACAGTATTGCTGCTTCAGGATATTTCAGACATATGGACACATATTGGATAATTAGAGCAAAGCCACAATACACGCTACTTGATCTTCCATTGTTGTATGAATTTGGTAAGAAGTGCGCAACATTTTCACGCTAGAAACATGTTTTATGCAGGAATGTACAGTAACTGATATGCTGCAACGGCTCTTTTAAATATGAGATCAATGTAGCGAGTTTTGACGCTCTCGCCGCAGGAGCTGAAGGCAGAGACCGTTGTCGCCAGGGCGGCCAGAGCGACCTTGGACGCTCTCGCCGCTTTCGGTGTGAACGTACGGTAATACATTTGTAAGAGTCCATAATCTTTGAGTGGAATCGATTTTCCTCATGTGTGCTAGATAATGCCAGTGAATGAGGAAATTCGGTACGGTGTTGAAAGACGCTTGCTGCGCCTTTCTCTCCAACACAGACATGCGGCGTAACCCACGGTGCATGCAACGCGCGTAGCTGTGCATTTATACTTCTGCGCGCTGTCTCTGTTGGTCTGCATTAACACTTCTGAAACGCTAGTTGGCAGTGAGGTGTTAATGTTCTTCTGTGTCGAGTTTCTTCGCTGGTGTTTTGTTTTTTCTGAATGCTTCCTGAATGCACAAGTGGTTCAAACTCGCTCATTTTGAGGCAGGAACTGGCGGACGTGCAACAACTTTAACCATGAGGTAAACATAAAACAAAACTTTCCATCTGGAGCTCCTTCACGGGACTCCACACTTGTGAACAATCACTCCATAGGGCTTGCGCCGCTCGCACGGCTCTCGATCCCGCCCAGACTCGTCAGCGCTACCAAGCCGACCAATCACAGAGCTTGCGCTATGCGTCGTTGTGACGTGTAGTTACATTTTTTTTGAGAGGTGCACGTCAGCGACGCCGACGGCCACGGCGTAGGGCTATGCGTCAACGTAGTATAAATCAGCAGAAGTATAAATCAGCCTTTAGTTCATATGTCTTCTTGCCACAAGGTCTCCCCATTTGGGCAGCAGGTGGCCTCTGCACATACTCCCCATTTGGGACTGGCACGCTTTCCCAATGCATCTTATTTTAAAATTCCTAGAACTTAAATAGGTGTGTTTTTTACGACTCCCCAAAAAAATATAAATAAGCCTTTAGGCGCTTCACAGGTAAATAAGGTAAGTTAGGGCCAGGGGACACGTTGGAGGGCTGCATCTCTGGTGATGACGGTGCGCTCACGCTGGAGCCTGGCAAACCACTCACCAGCAACGTCGCAACCTGGTAAGGTTTAATCACTGTGGCATTTTCCAAACATTTCCCCATAGTGGAAGTTTTTACACATAGCATTGAAATTCTCCTTCCTTAAATGGTTACTACATAACACTCGTTCCCCGAAGTATGTGTATATATATATATATATATATATATATATATATATATATATATATATATATATATATATATATATATATATATATATATACACATACATACATACATACATACCATACAGACATATACACACACACACACACACACAAAGTAAAATGTATATATACTATATATACACATTAATGTATATACTATAGTGCTCAGCAGCATAAATGAGTACACCCCCCTTTGAAATACAATATTTTTACCCATTAAAAAAAAAAAAAACATATCAGACTGACTTCTTATTTCTTTTCCCACATATGTAATCCAAAAAGCACATTACATGTAAAAGATTTGAATGTAAATTGTAATGTGAATATAAATGTATCACATAAATGTTTTCCTTAAAAATATCTACTTAAAATATGGGACAAATTATTCACCCAATACATTTAAAAAAGCATTGGTTCATAGATTTTAAAAGTATGATATGTTGTCATGATAACAGTGAAAACCTAATTTTAGTTTATTTGCAGAAATAGCAAAGTAAATAATGAGCTGGTAAAATTATTGCCAATAATGCTGAGAATATGCGAAAGCTAAAAGCACACATTTCTCAAAAAACAGAAAGAGTGAAAAAAAAAATGTTTTAGACTTTCTCTTGCTTGATCAACTGTAATACTTACCCACATGTTCCTGTAGTTCAGAGATCTTGCGGCGGTAATAAAGAACACCCAATCCAGCTACAACTGCAATCACCAACAGCAGAGCAATAATAGCTCCAGCACTAGGAGACACAACTGAACCTGAAATGATAAACCCTACAAACACTATAAACATCAGCATTAATCAACCTAATGAAGACCTTATACTGTAATGATAAAGCCAATATGAACAATTTGATCTACAACAAACTGGTTCTGGTGTGAACATGCCAACAGGACAAGAGCACATATATGCAGAAAATGGCAGAATAAAAACAAAAGAGAAGCCAGTTATAAAGAATTATTTTATCCACACTAATTAAGTAATTATAAATGTATTATAACATATTATAATATCTGATATCGGTCATCAGTGAATATTTTGTATTTGTATTGTCTAATATATAATATATAGTATCAAATGTGGAAATCAACTATAAAAAACACATTTAAGGTGTTTTAGCACACTTTGAGCATTTCAATTTAATGCAACTTCACATTTACTATTACTTTTATTAGTTATTACTCCTCTAGGTTTGAAATATATATTGTACATGTTGACAACCCCATCAATGAACCATTGTCATGACTGAATAATAAAACAATTTGGGACACTGTGGCTATTTATTTATTTGACAGACTTTCTTTAATGGATAATAGTGAACGAAAATAATGCAAAAATAGTTGCCTGTCAGGTCCTGTTAAATTTACTGTCCAATGTCACTTTAACTTATGTTCTTGACCTAATTTAGAACAATATGTTTGTATTATTGTTTTATAATGCTAATGGCTGAACTATCAACTGAAAAAGACATGGATTCAGGAGAGCCAAAATTTTGTAAAAAACAAAACAAAAAAACACAAACACACACGCACGCGCACACACACACACAGGGCTCTATTTTAAAGACCTAAGCACATGGTGTAAAGCTAAGTGATAAATTTAACCAAAGTAAGTTATAGACTTTTCATTATGATCCGAAAGAATTATACCAACTTTTGTAAAATGGGCATCTAAGGTCACTGTTAAGAAATTTGATAACTTGTCTTCATACTCATGTTTGAATGTAGGAGAATAAAAAAAGACAATTTGAGAATCTTGATAAACATGGACCCTGGTCACCTCAGTTATTTACAGATGGCTGATAAACTATCAAGACTTTATAACCCTTGAGTTACTCACCAGTAAAATTAACAGCGAATTTCTTGTATGTTGTCTGTTTGTTGCTGCTGATCCTCACTGTATAATATCCAGCATCTGTGTCTTTCATCTTGTCTAAGGTCAGAAATCCAGTCTGGTCATTCAGCTGCAGTCTGCCTTTGTATCTTTCATCAGCATTATAATATGGTGAACTCTTGGTCTCTTTATCTTCTTTAGCCAGGAGTTTTCCTTCATCTCCAAACCTCCACACAATCAGCTCATCTCCGTGAAATTCAGTAACATCAGTCTCTAGAAAGAGTGGTTCTCCCTTTTTCACTGTCAAGATCTTTATTTCAGCTTTATGAGCTTCAATAACAGATGGAACTTCTGCAAGAGAAACATTCACAGAGGTTAAACATACTGAATAGTACTGGTATATGAACTGCACTACACTGTTATGCTTTATTGTTAATTTTAAACTTGTGTTAATCGCATAAGACACATGCAGATTAATAAAAAGGTTACATTTTTACATGTACATTATCCAGTCTGTCACTTAGCCATATTTCTTATTTTTATTTATGTGTGCATGTATACATTTAATTAAGTATATTAATATGTAATGTCATGTCAGAGTCATTTAAACAATGCATCTAAAATAGATACAATAAAACCAGCAAACAAGCTATATTAAACAAGATTTTGACCTTAACAGATGTTAAAATGTCATTTTGTGGCAAAATTATAATAAATATTACTTTAAATGATTTTTCTTCATAAAACTGCTTACTACATAGATTAAGCAGGACAGTCCAATACAAATTGCTTGATAGAAAGGGGAATATCGCAAAGTATACATTGAGTAGTGTTGGAAATTTGAGAACCCAGTCCAGGAGATTTGTCCTCTGTATTACATGTATTAGGAGGGGACAGAGTATATAGGTGGACACAAAGAGCATGTAAATGAGATAGATAGGTTAAAAAATCTGCCCAGCCACCAACCAGACAATGTTCACCTGTCGAAATCGAATCAACAAAAAGAGTTTCTTTGGCCTGAATGGATTCACAAAGACCAAGGCACAAAGTCGTCGAGACCCTGCCCGTAATCAGGAAGTGCATAAAGACAATAAGTTAAATGTCTCCAACACTTGGCCTGCTATAGTTTTTAATGAAATGAGGTAACTGAAAACCAAAGAATATAACTTTTTAGCTATATAACTAGATTATATAAATGTATATGTCAACAGTAGGTTCTTCAGCTTTTCAGTAAAAATGCACGAGTCACTCTTGTGTGACCAATAAGACATCTGCAAACACCATTTGATAAAATCTAGCTTTAAAGGAGATAAAAAAAAATTGTTGGAAATTTCCAGAGGGATTTCGTGTGGTTTATTATTTGTACATGTATGGTCCATATAACACTTTTCACTGCATTATTGCAGATTTAAAAGACTAATTGCACTTCTTCAACCTACAAAACTAAAAATTATTTATTAGGCAGTTTGGAAGTATTATAATTAATTGGTGGAACGAAAGTAAACAAAATAACTGCTCATCTTGTCTGTGTGTGTATGTGTGTTTCTCTCTAGTACTGCTGTGTAAAAGCAGTATCAGTCTCAGTCATGCTGTTATTCTAGATGAACGTGTGACACCAGTGATGATGAAATCAAACCACTGCCTGATTGTGATTTTGTGAGAATAACACTGCAAGACTGAATATAACTAACATTAACTGATTTTTAGGTTAATTTACTGTAAATTAATAATTACTCACCATTGACTGTAACGTTAAAACTTGCATTATTGGTCCCATTATCGTGGTCAATCTCAAGTGTGTAAAGCCCAGAGTGTTTGGTTCTCATGTTGTTGATAGTCAGAGATCCAGTCAGATCATTTTTCTCCAATCTGCCTTGCAGTATCTCCACATTCCGAATATTTTCAGCAGCGTTGGATCCCTTTTTTTGAAACATCCACTTTATCTGATTTATTCTTTGTATTTGAGTAATATCAGGATTTAAGGTGACAGAATCTCCCTCCATCACTGACTTCACTTTAACTTCATCAGCACTAAACACACCTGCAGAACAAACAGAAATGGTTAATCAGATATTACACTCCACTGCTGGTTATGTTAATAAAAAAAATAACTGATGTAATGTGACAATAGTGTGATTTAGTGTTAAGTGATGTACAAAATCTTCTGATCGCCTTATCGTCCGCATATTGCCATATCACCAAAACATGATACTATCATGTGGGGTCACGGCAGTGTTATTTATTAATTTCTAAATGTATTTAATAATATTTCAACTTTTTCTACTCATGTACTTTATTTGCATTACGTTGTATCTTGGAAGAGGCGAGGCAGTGGAGCAGTAGGTAGTGCTGTCGCCTCACAGCAAGAAGGTCGCTGGGTCACTCAGTTGGCGTTTCTGTGTGGAGTTTGCATGTTCTCCCTGCCTTTGCGTGGGTTTCCTCCGGGTGCTCCGGTTTCCCCCACAGTCCAAACACATGCGGTACAGGTGAATTGGGTAGGCTAAATTGTCCGTAGTGTGTTTGTGTATGTGTGTGTGGATGTTTCCCAGTGATGGGGTGTGGCTGGAAGGGCATCCGCTGCGTAAAAACTTGCTGGATAAGTTGGCGGTTCATTCTGCTGTGGAGATCCGGATTAATAAAGGGACTAAGCCGACAAGAAAATGAATGAATGTATCTTAGAAATTAACTAAAATCTATGCAAATCAATGCACTATTCCGTCTCAATTAGGTGCTGAGACTTCAGTTATTTCAAACAATACAAGATTTGAGGTGACTACAGGAGAGGGCTGTCATTCACAAGTCAGAAAAATTGACAAACAGTTGAGGTCAGAATTATTAGCCCTCCTCAATTTTTTGCCTACATGTAGAGTGTATTTTCCCCCAATTTCTATTTAATAGACAGAAGATTTTTCAACACATTTCTAATCATAATCGTTTTGATAACTCATTCCTAATATTTTACTAGATATTTTTCAAGACAATTTTATTTTATTTTTTTTTATTCTTTTTTAATTATTTATTTATTTATTTTTTAGTGCCATGTCAGCAACCAAGGCTATCTTCATGGCAGGAATCTTTCAACAATAAATATACAATTTAAAAATCAACAAACAAAATAAATCAATTCAAATAAGATTTTTTGTGTTAATACATGATAAAAATTCTAAAATCTTTTCTGGTTTCACTTGGTCAAAAATGTCCTTAAAAGAGTTCATTTCATAAAAAGTGCTTCTGGAATCAGTAAAAGACGGACAGTCCAGTAAAATATGTTTTACAGTAAGAGGAGTTTTGCAGCACAAACGCTAAGTAAGGTTTTCACCTTGGAGCAAAAAACCATGTGTTATTCTCGTATACCCAATACGACATCTGGTAAAAACTACTTGATCAAATCGATTCTTAAAATGTCTTAAAATTCTGTGTGAAACTTCAGGTTGGATTTCATGTAATTTATTGTTTTCTAATGCATCCCATTCCTTTTGCCACTTGTTTAAAATGTAAGCGTTGATAAAAGGTTTAATCTCTGACGGAGGAATTTGGCATTTGTTTACTACTTGCTTCAAAGAAAGAAACTTTTATACTGCTTACAGTGAAATTTAACCCCTTCAGACCCTGCATCCATTACAATGGACATCACATGACATCACGTTTTTCTGAAATATGGCACATAATTCAGGTCTAAAGGGGTTAAAGGCTTAACTAGGTTAATTAGGCAAGTTAGGGTAATTAGTAAAGTCAAATCAATAATTCGTAAATGCTTTTTACAAGTTGCAATCAAAAATTATGATCAGTGGTGCATTGGAGGGTAGTCCATACGCAGGCAACCCGTTAGAACGGGTTTAGGCAGGTGTGGTACTTATTTATCAGGCGGCTTTGAGTATACCCACTTATAAATCCCCTCTGATGCTCATCATTCAGTAGTGTCCTGCAATAGACCAAATCATGATAGTCCACCACATCCAGTCATATGTGAAAAAATGTCACAGTGATGATGATGCAGTCAATACCGGGGTGCCGGCTTGCGTTGAATATATTCGATAATTGCCTCTGAAGCACTTGCGCTTACTCTGTCTCCCACACCCCAGTAATTTGAATCAGTATATAATAAGGAAAACAATACATAAACAATACAATAAATAAAAAGAAGCAGGCTTTAAGATAAGAACATTCTCAAACCAGTGAACCCCTGTAAACTTTTCAGTCCAAGGATCCAGTAAACGAATGCATTCAAATAGTAGACCTAAATTCAAATCATTTATTAGATAATTAATACTATTTTATTGCAACGCCAAAGTAGGCCTGTCTTATTATTATTATTTTCTTATTTGTTGTTGTTGCTGTAATTATTGTAGGCTACATATTTAAATTTTCTATTATTTGATTGATTTGAATAGGCTATATCTATTAGAGCTGTGAACCTTTACTAGTCACACGGTTCGGTTACGATTATCATGCCATCGATTCGGTTCAATTCGATATTTCCGTGCATCACAGTGCATTGACGATGCTTTCCATACACAGTTTTATATTTTCTTCAAAGCAGCAGTTCTTGTATTAAAATGTATGAATATATTTATATTTATATATTATTTGTAAAACAATTTTGTCATTTAATACAAACAGAAAGATATAAAAACTGTAACTTTTAACAAAACGAGCATTTAGCAAATAATATAAACAAATATAAACATCCAGCTCAATTTCTAATCCTCGTCTAGTTCTCTTACACCTCTTTGATTGGTCACACCCTCAACAAAAACGGTTGCTATTGGCTCTTGCGCGCTGCGCTCTTCAGATAAGTGACACTGATAAGCGGTTTTGCCAAATTTTTATGTATTTTAGGTAGAATATATATTACCGGTGTGATTGGATAATAGAGGTTATTCTACAAAATGGATTAAGGAAGCTGCGGCCCGTTTCGAAAATATGGATCAAAAAGAAGCCTTGGCTCGAAAAACACTAAAACCTACTAACACACGGATTTCTTGTATTATTCAATATTCGGCTTTAAGTAATGAGTTTGCAAATATAGTACGAAGACATTGGCATATATTAAATTCAGACCCTGTTATGAGACACTGTTATAAAGATCCTCCACGAATTGTTTTTAAACGAGCTCCTAATGTGCGACAAATGATAGTGAGAGCAGATCAAGGTTCCGATCGGTCGGATAATCCTTTCTCAGTCCCTGAAGGTAACTATAGATGTGGTCAATGCGCACAGTGTAATTTTACAACCAAATGTCAGTTTTTTTGTCATCCACATTCAGGTAAGCAATTAAAGATTAAAGGTGTGATTTCATGTAACACAAAAAATGTGATCTATATGATTAAATGTCCTTGTGGTTTAGCCTATATAGGTAAAACAAGACGGTGTTTAAAAACACGAATTGCTGAACACAGAAGTAAAATACGATTAAATGATCAACGAAATCCTATCGCCGTCCATTTTAATGCATTAAAACATAACCTTGCGACGTTGCGATATATTGGCATTGAACAAGTGAAGGTGCCGAGAAGGGGTGGCGATGTTGACAGACTTTTATTACAGAGGGAAGCGTTTTACATTTACACACTAAACACTTTATCCCCGAGAGGTTTGAATTTGGATTTTGATTTAAAATCCTTTTTGTAAGTGTATTTGCATTCTATATTGTTGTATACTTTTCCCAGATGGGTTGTGGCTGGAAGGGCATCCGCTGCGTAGAGACTTGCTGGATTAGTTGGCGGTTCATTCTGTTGTGGCGACCACAGATTAATAAAGGGACTAAGCTGACAAGAAAATTAATGAATGAATTGTTGTATACTAAATATGTACATAATATTTTTGCCACTAGGTCTACTGGCCTTGTGTTTGATTGATGTGATTTTGTGCAGGTGTGATGCGCTATATCTATTTAGCCTATAGAATACTGTCTCCGAGGAATTCTATAGTGAGAATTTGTATTTGTATTGTATATTATTGTATTGTATATTATTGTATGCAAATGTTCCTGTTTACCGGCTTGTTAGCTGATTGTGATAATTGACTGCAGGTGCTGTGTAGAGCTGTTTGACTGACTATTTCTGGAGGACTTCCATTTGCAACGCTTTACCTGATGAAGACCATGTCGGTCGAAAAGTTGTGATTTTGTAATATTGACATTAAAATTTTTTTTTAGAGCTAAAGTGGCAGTGTGCCGATTTACTTTGAATCTTTTGCTACTAATATTATAATTAAAAATTAATTTCAGTATCATTTCTCCAGTCTTCAGGGTTGATCTTTTCTACAAATTTATTGTATTTAAAACGTATATATATATATATATATATATATATATATATATATATATATATATATATATATATATATATATATAATTTTTATTTTATTATTCTTTTATAAATAAGTCATAGTTTGTTTTATATGTAACGATAAGGCTCAAAGTTTACATCTTTTAATATATACAAACTTATTGCTGTATGGGTAACACTTCACTGTAAGGTTGCATGTATTAGTTAATGTATTTACTAATATGAACAAACAATGAACAATACATTTATTACAGCATTTATTCATCTTTGCTGACGTTAGTAAATAGTGATAAAGTTAATTAACCATGTTAACTCACTGTGCCTTAACTAATGTAAACAAGCACGATTTGGGTTTTAACAATGCACTAGTAAATGTTGAACTATGAATAATTTATGATGGACCAATATTGTTCATACTTTTATATAAACCAATAGCCAATAAAACTTCACTGTAAAGTGTGACAGTTGTATTGTTATATCTGTTATCTTTGTATGTAGTTATAAAGAAGTAACTTAGTTATTGCTACCGTGACACTGACATTGATTGGTCAGTTGATTTCAAATGCTTTAACTTGTTGGATAAATTGAAATCCCAAACAAATAAAGTTGAGTGCTATTTGTGCAAAAACAATGTTTCGTTCATGAGTTTTTGATGAGGTAAATGCGAATCTGCAAATCTGTTGCTAACTTTACAGTTGGATTCAAGGAACTTTTTACAAGAACTAAAATCACTTTATTTTCACAGTCACGTCAGAACCTGCGCTACTCATACACAGTGAAGTGAACCCGAGAGTGCAATGAAAGCTTTACTTACCGCATATAACTAATGCAAACATAACTGTTCTTAAAACATAATCCATATTGCTGTGAATTTCAGTCCTCTTGCTGGTGTTTCGTTTTGCTCCTTCTTCTTCTTCTTCTTCTTCTTCTTTTTCGTTTAATGGCGGGTGGCAAACCAGCTTGAGGTGCATTACCGCCACCTACTGTGTTGGAGTGTGAGACTTCAATGAGTGGAAGGCTTACTACTTATTCTCTATAAAAAAAAAAAAATTAAATAAATAAATAAATGAACCTATTTTCAACCCTTTCGTAGTAAATTATAATTAATAAACAATATTCATAATAAAAATCTAAATAAAACTAACTAAATAACCAAAATATAATTCTTTCCGATTAAATCCTGTAAAACAAACCTGTACTCCTCAAGAATTTTAGCAGATAATCATATACCTTAGTTTCTTTCTGAGCATTTTTAAAAATGTTAGTGATTGTAATGTCTGTCATGTCCAAATCTCTTAGTTTTATTTTAAACAGGTCCCTCTCTCTTCTATATTTTGTGCACTTGATTAATACATGTTCTATGGTTTCGATCTGTCCACAATGTCTGCAGCATTCTGTTTCCCTTTTCCCTATCTTATAGTGAACTGTTTAAATTGGAATGACCTATACGAAGTCTGGATATGACTGTGTCTTCCTTCCTGTTACCATATACTTTCCTTTCTTTCCCCACTTTATTTTGTATATTATACAGATGTCTTCCTTTTGATTCTGAATTCGTTTTGCTCCTTCTTCTTCTTCTTCAATTTAATGGCGGTTGACAAACAACAAAATGATGATTTCCGCCACCAACTGGTATGGAGTGTGGATCATTTTGATTTAGCCCTCACCTACCGCTTTCTTTTATTAAATCCTCCCCCATAAATTAGAATTTTTAAGATATTTCAATAAAAAGGTAAAACATTTATTTCCTGAATTATTTTGTAGGATGTCATCTAATTTGAATTGAACTTTTATTTCTTCTAAATTCTTACTAAGTACTCTCCTTTCATCTTCATATTTCTTGCAGTTTAATATCACTTGTTCAACTGTCTCCTCTTGTCCACAAAACTCACATTGTCCTGAGCCATGTTTCCCCATTTTAAAAAGTGTACCATTTAATTTTGTGTGTCCAAATCTCATCCTGGATATTATTATCTCCTCTCTCCTGTTTTTTCCTACACTTCTCATTTCTCCTACTTTCCTTTGAATTTTATAAAACCACCGGCCCTTTTTTTCATTGTCCCATTGACTTTGCCACCTTCCCTTCATTCTTTTCTTAATAATACTCTTGACTTCACTTTTACTTATACTTACATTTAGACTGATATCATTATTTTTGACAGCTTGTTTTGCTTCCTTATCTGCAATTTCATTTCCTTGAACACCAATATGAGCAGGAACCCATAAAAATATTACTGTTAGACCCATCATTTGAATTCTGTACAAGGTTTGCGTTATTTCTAATAAAATGTCTGGTCTACTTTCTGAATTACTATATTGTAAGCTTGTAAGTGAAGAACTCGAGTCTGAACAGATTACTGATTTTAAAGGTCTTATCCTCTACCCATTGAATTGCTAATAAAAGTGCTATCATTTCTCCTGTATATACAGATACTTCGTCACTAATCCTTTTTCCTACTGCTATTTGAAATTCAGGAACTGTAAAAGCCACCTACTCTATTTAAACTCTTAGAGGCATCTGTATATATTTTAACATGAGTGTAAAATTCATTAATATATTTTTGTACATATAATAGATTACACTCCTCATCCTTTCCTCTCTTTTCTAATATTGTAAAATCTACCGATGCGTCTGGTAGTAACCATGGTTTAACTACTGGTAGGGGTACAGTAGGACTAATATTTAATTGACACTTTTATTTCTGTTGCTTTTTTTAACACTGTCCATCCAAAACTTTTATTTTCCTTCCTCTCTTTTTCCCAACATGGTTTTAGTGTTTCTAATGTTGGATGTTCTTGATTATGCCCTTTCAAATTTACCCAATAACTTACGGACAGTTGGACTCTTCTCATTTCCAAAGACATTTCCCCCATTTCAATTTGTAGTGCTGTAATTGGTGTAGTTTTAATTGCTCCTGTACTTAATCTTAATATCTCATGTTGTATTTTGTCTAGTTTTTTAAGAGATGTCTCTGCTGCTGACCCATATACAACACACCCATAATGTAACTGCCCATGATTTAATGTACTCGCTTTGCTTGCCCTAATTGGAGTCACCACAGGAGGGCGCTCTAGACTAATAGGATTTAAGTGAGACAAAGCAGAGTAAGAGCAATTCACGTTTGTTCACGAGCTAACAGGTACAGCTCGGAAGAATGCCTTGAGCTTTTAGTGTCCCTTCGGCAAGCAGAGCGAGGTATGTTTTGTTTATTGTTTGATTTATTTGGAAAATGTTAGATGTTTTGTAAATGTTTGTTGTTTATTTTTCTATGTTGTTTGTTGTTTTCTCTAGTTTTACGGTGCTTTGGTGCTTTGGTGCTTTGGTGCTTTGGTGCTTTGGTGCTTTTGGTCTTTTGATGCTTCTGTGTATACAACAAAGAACTGAGACGATGATTTATGTGATGAACTTTATTGCATCCAAGTAAAACTTTTTAAATGCACCCGTCAAAAACTCTCTGCCTATTCTTTGAAAGCTGAAGGGCTGCTACAGTAAAACTCGCTGCTACACATGGCTTTTGCATCGCGTTGGTGATTCATCACATGAGTGTCATGTTACAAGCCTTCATCTCGTCTGTGGCACTGCATGGCATCTACAAGAGACTGAATCTACACTAGGACGGCGACTTTACACGGTTAACTGGGAAAACTCTTCATGAAAGACTGAAAGGTGACTGCAAACAAACGTTGTGGACTCAGAGGTACAAGAAAAGGAAAAATATTTATCTATTTATTACTTTTGGGATAATTGCAATTTTTAAAGAAAAAAAAGGATTTATATTTGTATGCTTTGTTGAATTTGTATGCAGTAATTGAAGTTTGAGAATGAGGAGTGACTAATGATTTAAGTGCTCATGTTTCAAGGTGTTTGTGTAATGTTGGGCTTATATTCATGATGCATGTATTAGACAAATGTTTGCAATTTTAAAGTGCTTAAAGTCTTAAGAGTTTATACTGTTGTTGCACATGTGATTTTGACTTATTACCTTTGCTATAATATTTTAGGTGTTTAAATTTGTCTGATGTAAGCAGGTTGCTGATTTAAGTTGTAGACAGACAAAATGGACGACACAGCGGAGCAAATGGCGGCACAAGCAAGTCAAAGGTCAGTTCTTGATAAAGATCTGAATAGTACAACAGAAATGCAACAGGTTAGATCAAGATCAAGCTCTCGAAAAAGAAATCCCACAGAAAAGGGTTTAGAAATGCAAAAACAAGAGACAAAAAAGCACGAGAAAGCCTTTAATAAAGCTTATACTTCCTGGAAGCAGACAGCTAAAGAAATTAGATGTAAATTAAAAGCCTTATGCACATGTGAAGAGCTTGAGCAAATTTTGAAAGACATTCAAACTAGTCAGGATGTTGTCACTCAACATTATGCCCCATTTCTGCGTAATCAAACTGCTACTCCAGAGATTGTAAGAAGAGTAGATGTTTGTTCCATATTGAGTACAGAAATTTGTGATTTGGTGAGCAAACGAATAGAAACTGTTGATGTCATTCAAAAAAGGGAAGTAGTTAAAGAGAGAGTTAGGCAGATATTGAACAAAGAGGAGTATGAGTCTATATTTGGTTGTACCAATACAGAGACCATTATCTCAGTATCGTCACAGACTGTAGAAAGTTTGTCAGCTGTCTCAGAAACTTCCTCTGAAGCTTCAAGTAAACGAGCTGATGCAGAGGCAGAACTTGCGGCTAAAGTAGAGCAGAAAAGGGCCATTCAAGAAATTTCCAATCAGCAAGCTCGACTAGTTAAACTGGAGAATGACTGGAAGCTGGAAGAAGCAAGAATGTTAGCGGATATTAAACAGAAAGAAATTGAAATTCGCTCCAAGTTAGAAGAAGAAAAAGCAAAATTGCAATTGTTACAAGCGGAAAAAGATGTCAACGTAGCTGCAGCTCGAGTGAAAGCTTATAACAATGCAGAAAGTTGTCTTGAAGAGAGCAGTTTGGAAGACGACGAGACCGGAAATGTCATTTATCCTGAACGAAGAAAAGCTTCTAACAAACCTCAACGTAATCCTGTGATAAATCCATTACCTTCACAAACATTTCAAGAAGAAAGTAAAACTAAAGAGACTGAGAATTTAGCTCAAGCATTAGTGAACTCCTTAAGTATAAGTCGTTTACCTGTTCCAGAACCAAACACTTTTAATGGTGATCCTCTGAAGTTTATTGAATGGAAAATGTCCTTCACAGCACTCATTGATTGTAAATCCATCCCAGCAAGTGAGAAAATGTTCTATTTAAAAACCTATCTTGCAGGAGAAGCTCGTAAGGCCGTAGAAGGGTTCTTTTATAAGAACTCGGATGATACATATCAGGGTGCTTGGAGAGTCTTGGAGGAGAGGTATGGAAACCCATTCATTATTCAGCGTGCTTTTCGAGAGAGACTCATGAAATGGCCCAAGGTGGGAGTAAACGATCCATTTTCCTTGAGAGAGTTCAGTGATTTCTTGCAAGGTTGTGTTGAAGCTATTCCACAAGTCAAAGGTTTGTCCATCTTGAATGATTGTGAGGAAAATTACAAGTTGCTTAAGAAGTTACCAGAATGGATTGTCCGTAAATGGAACAGAATTGTTGTTGAAGAGTTGGATATGACAGGAGACTATCCAAGTTTTAAGCAATTTGCTGAATTCTTGAAGAAGGAATCAAAGATAGCTTGCAACCCTTTCACTTCTCCACTGCTAGCCAGTTCAAAGGTTCCAGATGAAAAGTATCTGAAAAGAGCAAAAGCTTTCAATATTAAGGCTCAAGTAAAAGATTCAAGACCAGAATTCAAGGTAACATCACCATGTTCTGTGTGTAAGAGTGAAATGCATAGTATCGTCAAATGTCCTATCTTTGCAGAGAAGCCCATGGATGATAAAAGATCTTTCATTCGTGAAAATCACATGTGTTTTGGATGCTTGAGAAGAGGGCATATTTTTAGGCACTGTAGGAGACGGCATATTTGTGGAACATGTGGACTGCGTCATCCAACTTGTCTGCACGAAGATAAAAGCAAATATTCAGAGGTATCCCAAGCAGAT